GGTGGGGCATGGAGCCAGTGGATAAGAGGCAGTCCAAGGGGCAAGACTGGCCTGGGGGACTAGAGCCCTCCAGGATCTGCAGCCCAGAAGAGCCACACTGCTGGGCTTGGTGTAAATGAAGAAGCAAGTGGGTATCTCTGCCACAAATCCCCCTTTCTCCTAGGGTCACTGGCCTAGGGAACTCGGCCCTGGGCAGGTGTCCCAGAAGAGTGAAGTCTTCCAGACCTAGACCACACTATCCTGGACAGAATGGTGGAACAGTTCTTCCCTGCCCACTATTGGGGGGCAGAGCCACCAGGAGCAAAGGAGCAGCCTACCCTTACCCCCAATTGCCTCTGAGTCTAAATCTCCTAGAGTTCAGCCTCTGTCTATCCTCTCAGCCCACAGAGACATAAAAGTTGGGCCCAGCTTCCATGTGGGGGATGTGAGGGACCCCTGTGGGGTGAAGGAGGCACCCTGCTTGCCCAACACAGGATGGAGTCAATGCATGGTGGTGGACAGGTCCTCAGGAGTGGGGGGTGTAGGCTGGCCCGCCCCCAGCTTGTCCACCAACCCCCCACCCCAAAGCCCTCCATGCAGCACCTGTAGGTGTCAGTATTACCTAAGCCTAGGCCAAAGCCAGCCCAAGGCTGGAGGGAGAGATTCCAGGTCAGAATGTGGGGTCTTGCTCTGTGATCTGAGGTGTTGCATGTGGAATTCTGAACTGTACGTGTAGTTTTTAGTGGAGAAATCAAGGCTCTGATCATTTTGTTTTTAGTATGAAAATGTGATTTCCTTTCTGTTTGTCACTCATCATAGAAACATTGTGGTGGGAGGAGAGGGGATAGTCTACTGATAATGAGGGAGACACCAAAGATCTACATCATTAAAATGATGATATGCCCCTCCTCAGGCTCCTGCTTGTTTCTATGGAGAGGGGGGAGGGAGAAGGGTTTGGGACTCCGGTGTGGAAGGCATCAAACTGGGCAGCCTGGCTTCCATAGGCATCTCAGTGGACCTGGTAGTGGGGTCCTCTCCAACCTATTAGCCCACATCAACTCTTGAAGTTTGCTTCCTAGGATGTGGTGCAGACTGGGGCACCCTCTCAGTGGCAACTGGCTAGGCAGGGATGATGGAAGAAGTCATCCTGATTGCTACTTATCCAGTACTATGGGCCTGAGTGATGATAATCCAAAGCTGCCCTCTCCTGTCCTGGAGACCACAGCAGCAGGTTCTAGGCAGCTGAGAGGAGACTGTGGGCTTGTCTGCAAGTGTCCTTGAAGGTTGGCTGGAAGACCTTCCCTGCCCGTGGTCTTTAGAAAGTAAGAGAGGCCTTAAAGTATACCTCTTTAATAGAAAAGCTGAGTAACTCTGGAACATTTGCCAGCAACCTGGACTACCACAGATAGGATACTGGCAGGTCATCTGTAAGGATGTGGAGGTGGGGATGGTGAATATTACAGATTCTGTCACAACAGAGATGAAACCAAAAGTGAGCAAGCCAGTATGCAACACTGAGGTTCCATAGGAGCACACATTTTCTAAAGAGTGTGTGAACTGTGTCTGCAGTCTACTGTAGAGGACTCTGTCAGTGAATTCTATCAGCGGACACTGGCTGACTGTGACTTAGGACAAGAGATTCACCTCTTCTGTGCTTTGATTTCCCTTGCAGGAGTACACTAAGGGACTGCTTCAAGTTACTTTAGCCCTGTAGTCTCGCACAGATGTGAGACTGGCCTTCCTTCAGGGAGAGGGATTTGAACTAAGTATAGGAGGATGGAAGGGTACCTACTGCAAAGCCAATTCTTATTGTTGCTGTGAGAATCAGCCTTCAGCAGCTCAGGGACTGAGGGGTTCATGGAGTCAGCGAACTAATCACTCCACTTTTCTGAGGGAGTAAAAACTCTCTGGGGCCAGCAAGTGCAGCAAAAACTTAACTCTGGGGTTGGCAAAAAGGGGAAATGCACACGTGCACACACACCCCTGTCTACCTTTAGGGTCTTTCTGCCATCTCCCTCTCTTACCTCTATCCAGATGTATCACTTTTGTCTATTCTTAATTTTTCCCTTACTGCTTATAGATGCCAACAAAATCTTTCAAGCTGTGTAAAAATTACAATGTAGTTACAATCTGTTTTTAAGTGAATGATTACAATATTACAATGAATATAAGTAAAAAACATAATTTTTTTTTTTTTTGTTTTGGTTTTGGTTTTCTTCAAGACAGGGTTTCTCTGTGTAACAGTCCTGGCTGTCCTAGAACTCATTTTGTAGGCCAGGCTGCCCTTGAACTAACTGATGTCCACCTGCCTCTACCTTCCAGTGCTGGGATTAGAGGTGTGTGCCACCACCGCCTGGAAGATTAAATGTTTTATGTATTATGAATGAAAAACAAATTATACCCAAGAACCCACATACATTCATGTCCAAGCAACTTGATGTAAGCAAGCAAGACATTTTCTCAGTTCTTTTATTGACAGGCTGCATTTTGTGGTTACAAGGAAAGGATTGATTGCTTTATTATCTCAAAAGATAATCTTATGAAAAATCTTAGAAGAATCACTAATTTAAACTTTCACATATGGAAAACAATCAGACGTCTTTAAGTCCTCAGGGTGCATACCCACTCAACAGTTTTCTTATTAACTCATCAGGAAGCTGAGGGTAGAAATGGGTACAAGGAATTAATCACCTTTGATCACCAACTCATCCTAGCAAGAAAAGTAGTCCATCAGCTAGCAAAAGCTAGATTACCATTGTTTTGTTCCAAGTCCCTTGTTCAACTATTGAAAGCGTGCTTTTCTAAACTTTATAAATTGTTCCCCGAGAATGTTTACCTCAAAACCATTAACAAAAACATTTCAACCCAACCTTACTAACAATTCTACATGTCTGAATTCTTTCTAAGGGTGATGGTTGAATCATTAATCTGCTCCAGCAGCAATGATTGGAAAAAGCCAATCATTAAGTGTCAGTAACACTGCCCAGTGAAAGGCTAGAAACCCAAGACTTTTCATACAACTCATAGATTATGAGGGATGTGGTGACCACGAAGGCAGCAATCAGAGCTCTGCTCGATAACAGCATGAGGTCCTCAGGACAGTTTGTCATCTGGGCTTTGCCATGAGTTCCAATGCTCCCTGTTGGTCCCCTTGAATGGCCCCCTGACATAGTCTTGCCCACCTACTACTACAAATAGAAATATGACTTGGTTTAACAGTAGAGATGGAATTTGGGTGTAAATGTGCTGAGTGTGCACAATCTGCCCCTCCAAAAACCCTCAGGTGACTACTTCAGTTTCCTTAGACCATATGACTGACAGCCAAGGTATACAGGAGCCACTGTTACCAACACAGAAGTCGAGGCTGGGAAAACTGAATGGAATCTGGACATGCTCTCTATTTGGTTAGGAACAAGGATATGAAGAGGGCTTGTGATAAAGCAATCCAAATATCAAATGTGAGCATGCCTTATCCACCTCTACTGACTGGCCAAGAATGTACAGGTCACACCTGCTTGTCTCCACACCAGTTCCTTTCTTAGGAAAGCCTCCTCGGTGAGTGGTAAGCCATTTCAGGGTCCCTGACACATCACAAACGTGATATCAGCAAAGCAAAGGCTGGCAGTCCCTTCAAAGATAGTGTTCAGAGGCTGTTAGGCCAAAAAAAGAGTAGACACTGAACTAGGTCCCATAATTACAGTTCAGCTTTCCAGGGTTTATCTGTGAGTCCTGAGATGTGAGTGGATTAGCTGGTAACTTTGGCAGTGGTTGGAGGCATTTCTCGTTTCTGGAACCACCTGTCCTTTACAAGCCCGGCTGTTTTCCTCAGTGGCTGCTTAATGGTCCGCCCTCTCCCTTACACATAATACTTCCCCTATCTTGGAAGTGTCCTGCTTCTGGACCCCAGGGAGGGGTATATGGCAAAATGCAAGAAGTTGATGTCCTATGAATCAATTGAGCCTCTTCTCATCTGTGAATTGGGGCAAAAACAATCACTTTTTTCATCTTATGAGGATCATGGAGACTAAAGCGCCCATGGGCAGGGAGATGGCTTCTCACACGGGCCCACCCAGGCAACTCTAGCCCTCAATGCTGACCAGAACTGACCTCCACTTCCCCTTCAGCATGGAGAAAGAAGCCTGTGCCCCAGTAGCCCCACCTCACCGGCTCTAGCTCGGGTCCCCACCCCTTCTCTGTTGAAAAACAAAAACAAAAAATCCTACCTCTATTTCTTCAAAGCTATTCCCTCCACCGCCACTCCCCTCGAGTCCCTACTGGTCCTTTCCAGAGGGTAAAGGAGAGGCGGGACTTAGGCTATTTCTCCAAGAAAAGGAGTTAGCTGGTTTAAGGTTAATCAGCTATTGACACTCAAGGAACTTTGTGGGTGACAGGGCTGGGCGTTGACGGGTGCGTCCAACCCTGGCTGGCTCAGGAAGAATAAATGCTGGTGCGGGATCTGAGCAACTCGACCCAAGGGCCAAGGCCACAGCAGAGCTGTCCAAGGTTCTGAATCTGCTTACTTTGGGTCTTAACCTAATACTGTTTGTTGCAGGAGGTCTGGGAGACCCGGGTAGTCCTGGGGAGGTCTGTTCTGTCCCAGGTGACCTTGGGCACCTGGCTTCCCTTCGTAGGCAGCGGTAAACTCATTCCTCGTGTCGTGGCTGGAAAGGAGACTCGTGCCATCTTCGGTCTCGCAAGTGATGCTCGTCCCTTTCCGGACCTGGAGAGGGACATGGTCTTCTGCCAGCGTAGACGCTTGCCTGTCCTTTCTCTCATTCTCTTTCCCAGGCCCCGACGGCTCCGATCTTTTGGCTGTCCGGCGGCCAACAGAAGCTTGTGGGCCAAATCCTCCCCGCCACACACCACCTCCTGTTGGTACCAAAACCCAAAAGACGACGGTTAAACCGCAAGCCGTACAACCGAGGGGCTGAAGCCTTGGAGAGGCGCGAAAACAATTCGGGGTCGAGTGTGTGGCTAGGGCTGAGGCGGGGCGCGTAGCCAGACTTGGCCGCCTTGTTCCTCCCAAGCCCGCAAGGGGGCGCCTTGTCCCCATGACAACGCGAACAGCCCCTCCATCCCCTCCCCCGGAGGGCAGCGCCCGAGGCTAATCCGCCCTGGAGACTGTGGGCGGTGCCCGAGATGCTGGAGCCCCTAGTAGCCGGCCAATTCCCCGGAGGGGCGCAAGTATCTAGGGTGTCCGACACTCCAGGTGGTGACCCCCGCGCATCGCCGCTGGGTGACCGGCCCCGAGCGGGCGGTGCGTCCCCACCACGATTGGCTGCCTCCCTGTGACATCACGCGGCTCGGGGAAAAGTGCGAGCGTGAGCGCGAGTCGGAGCCACAGCGCCGGGAGCTGCAGACGAAGCAGGGGCCGCCCCTTGGTACCCCGTCCCCGCCCCCGGCCCACGGCCGAATCACCCACCCCGCCGACTCCCGAGGCCTCTGGCTTGTCCCGCCGTCTGTCCCGCGCCAGCGGAGCAAGACAGAAGCAGCCGGTGAGTAACTCCGCGGGGGTGGGGGGCTCCTATGCAAGACGAGGATGTGAGGCCCGCCGACCCTCTGGGGGTCTCCAGAGGTGAGTCCCAGACCCTTCAAGGGGCAAGCGCGGTGCGGAAGGGGCGGAGAGCTCAGGGGAGCGGGAGCCCTCTGGAAGAAGGGCCCCAGGTCTCTGAAAGGTTTCTCCAGGTGCGCCTCCAGAGATTGGTGATCATCCAGAAGGCTAGGACAGAAGAGTTCCAGCCCACAGCCCCAGCCCCAAAGATGGGCAGCCGTCGGGTCAGGACCCACACTCCCTCACTCCCTCCGGTTGGCTGCTCTATAGGGCACCGGAAGATGAAGCCCCAAAGCGCCCTTTTCCCGCCCGTCTCTCTGCCCTCCCCACCTTGGCCCACCCGGATCTGCCAGCAAGCTCTAGCCCGTTGAGTCCTCTGTACGCGACCTTGAGCCCCGACGGAAAACACCCCTGTACTCTCCTGGCACCCTTCCCCCTCTCCAGGACTAACCATTGCTTTTACCTATCCCGGCAGATACAGTCTCCGGGTCCTCCACCCTTCCAGCTCTCAGAGGAAGTGTTGGGCACAATGACTTGGCCCAATATCCTGCGCCCCTCTCCCTTTCCCTTAAGTACATAGGCTTCTCTCCGCCCCAGGAACAGATCTGGGGCCATAGCTTTCCTAAAGTGATCGCTTAATAAACGAAAACCTACCCCACGAGCCACCCCCACAGGCGCCCAGAGGACCATATCCCCTCTTGTCCGCAGCAGGGGAAGGGGCTCGAGGACCCGCTGAAGCACAGTGCCCACGCCCAGAGACTACAGGAACTGCGTGGCTGGGGGGTTGATGGGAGGGCGGGGCATTGGAGAGCCTTGGCCCTTTCGACCTGGACCCAGCCATGGAGGAGATGCGAGATGGGCTAAGGGTAAGCCCTGAGGTGGCCCTTTAGGTACACCTGAGCCCACGGCTTGGAAACTCGGTGCCTATTTTGACTGATCCTCTCCAGCGGGTGCGGGTTGAAGGGTGAAGGAGAACAATCGTACACTCGACCCAACCCTTGACTGGGATCCCCATTTGAAGGTTCTGCCCCTGCCTTCAATGCATAGGGTACTCCGAACTGAGCCCGCTGACCCTCACGGCTGGATTGGGCGACTATCACAAAGGCTTCTCGACAGAAGTCCACCCCTGGGACTGCGCGCTCTCCATTCTTGAGAATGCGACAGGACCAGGTGCCCCAGCCGCTAAGATATGGTTTCAAAGTAAGGGTTTCCTCGCAGGCAAAATTCTGGTCATTTTTTTTTTTTTTTCAACCCTTTCCCCACCCACAGGCCGGGCCATTCCCGCCATAGTCATTTGATGTGGCTGGTCACTCGCTGATGGTCGAGCATTTGCCCTACACACAAGTTCGCAGGTAGATCGGCCCAAGCTGTGAGCTTGGGCCAGGCCATAGCACCTCAGGCACGCACACACATGCACACGCACGTGTCCACATGGCGCTGGCATGCTCACGCGCTCAAAGTCGCACCGGTATCCAGGCGTGGCGGCGCGCACACTGGCACATGCAGGAAGCTACTAGTGTCTACTCGCGCTCCCGGGTAGTCACACACAAACAGAACTTGCACTCTTGTTCCCACCTACACGTTCCTTGATGGGTTCCTTGCGAGGTGCTGGTGGAATTCCGACACCCCAAAGTTTCTCATCCTCGAGCCCCTGGCCGAACCTAGGGAATCTTCGTGGCAGTTTAAGGCCACCAAGTCTGTCGGTGTCGCCCTGCCTTTGATCCCTTGAAGGAGAAGCCCTGTCATGAGGCTTTTCTGTATTCGCGATTTACACTGGGACTTGGGGACGTGGTGAACCGCGGCCTCTGTCTCGGGGTCCGGAGCGAGCACCCGGGGACCGACATTGCCATCTAGCGGTGCGCACAGGTCAGGGCTAAGGCTGCTTGCCTTCCCAGATCCTAGTGGGTCTGGATTCTGGGAAAATTGTATCTGCTAATGTTGCGATGGTGAACGTCTGAGTGAGAATCAGAGAGGACCGGAAAGAAAACTGGGACCGAGTTGAGAAAACTGAAGTTTACCCAGTCTGCATCTGGCAGGGCCCCGGCAAGACCAAGCCACCTACTTCATCTGATCACTTACTTGTCAAGGCTGTTTCTGGTCCCAGGAGGACAAAAGGTCAAATCCGAGTGAGGCAGCTGGATGGAATGAGGGTTCCACACCTAAGATGCATTTAGTGGGCTTCTCTCTGGTGTGGTTTGGAAGGTAACTTGGAGATGAAGAAAGTGTCTCTGGGTGCTAATTCTGACCCACCCCTTCTTACAAACTGAATGACTTTCATCAAATTCATTATCATGAAGCTCTTCTACAGAAGAGGACATTTATATCTGTAAGATGAGGCTAGCAATAGCACAACACCTTTTCTGCTGGCAGCTATAGGCATTAAACGTGACGATCTATAGGAAAAGCTCCAAGGGACTCCTGACTCAAGTTAACACTCAATAAACAAGACGTGTTGTGTTTTCCTATCTCACACATCTTACCCCCCCCCCACTTCTGCTGGCTCTATACTGGCCCTGAGAGACTAAAGTGAGGTTTTCTTTGGTGTGCTAATGGCTCCCCTCCTGGCTTGGCTTACCCTGCCCCTGCAGTGAGTGTCCTAGGAAAAGGTGGCCTCTGTGCTTGATGCTACTACTGTCCCAGCTCAGGGGCTGATGCTTGAGGCTCCATTATGTAGGCTCTCGGAGCTGAACAGCACTGTGAAGGCTCTTGAAAGGATCTGTCTTCCTTTGCCCTTGACTCTTCGGGTGACCTTGGAGATATCATTATCCCCCCCCCCTCCTCCTGTTTCCCAAGGTTTAAAGCAGGAGAACCTAACTTTGAAGCCAGAAGGCAGGGTCTTGTGTCTGCTATGATGGGGCTGGAGGACCAGGGCCAAGCTTGGCATGTGTCTGCAGCCTGCAGTGCCATTTCCAGTTGGAGAGCAAACTGAGGTGCTAACTGGATCACCTGGCTATTCCAAGACTATGGTGGGACAAGAACCTCTATTTTGTAAATGAGGGAGCTAAGTACCAGAGGGCAGATGGCTCTCCTTAGATTGTACAGCTAGCCTTCTATTGAACTGAGTGAGGCTGAAGACTTGTGTTTCTTCCTCCTCAGCCGGCTGCTGTACCCTCTTTTCCTCTCTTACACACACACACACACACACACACACACACACACACACACAAACTGCGTATACAACCTGCGTATGGCTGAGATGGGGCCTGTGTGCGTATGTGGAATGGTTGTGTGTTGGCGGGTGTGAAGGAGGCTGGGCTGAGCGGCTGCCCTGGCACAGTGTGCTGGGCGTGGGCCTCCCTCACATGTATGGAAGAGGAAAGGGAGGAGGAGAGCTGTAGGGAACCTGGTGGGAGGGAAGGCAGACTCAGGGGAGGGGCCTTGTCAGACCTCAGCTGGGCCTTCCTCTCTGGGATGTGAACTGGCTGCAGGTTCTCTGGGGAGTAATTCCCTCATCTTTCAGATCCCCGAGGGAGGTTGGACTGCTCTTGCTTCTTGACCTTCCTCGCCTGCTGGGTCTTTTAGGTTTCTGGTTTCTTGTTGGAGCCCTGGGGAGCTGACAGCCTATAGCTGCCCCTGCCATTGTCCACTTATCCCCTGCGGCTGGTCTGGGGAGGCAAAGCTGAACTTCTTGAGTCATCTCACACCATTCCTTTTCCTATTCCTCTCCCTCCTCCAGGTGTCTCAGCTCCCACCTCACCTCCTCTGGTCCCTTAGGTAACCTTCCTCACCCTTATAACCATCAGATCCTGTGTCTTGGCTCTAGGACCATCTTCTTTGCTCCCCAAATGCACTCTGCCAGCAACCGGACATCAAGGAAACATGGAACCCTATTTATGTAGCACCTCCGTACCTGTTTCCTCTATATCTGCCTCAGGTTTATTGTGATGGTTTAGCAAGCTAACACTGTCACAGGATGTGAGGACTTAGTATGATTGGTGCCAGCTACTAATACATCCCCCTGCACTATTGCCTCTGTCTGCAGTGTAGGGATGCAGGGATGCAAGGCTCCAGAGCTTGACGATGTTTGGTTCAGAAATGCCCAAGTGCCTGGATATGGTGGTACATTCCTTTAATTCCAGACCTCTAGAGGCAGAGACGGGCAGCTCAAACTCTGAGTTGACAGCCTGGTCTACATAGTAAGACCCTATCTCAAAAAAGGAAGAAGAAAGAAAAGAAATGACCAAATAGAACTGAATCCGTAGCTCAGAGGCACATGTGTGCGGCACATATGTGCTCTATGTGGCCTTGGGCACAATTTTCAGTGCCCAAGAAGCAGGGGTGGGGAAGGACATGACTGAGTGAGCAAATGAATGCGCTCTCTCTGCTCTCCACCTTCCAGCTTCTGGGACCACTCCTCCCGATACCCCTTGCTTCCCTGGGCGTATTCTACACCGATCTGTCCATGTCACTGGTACTTTACCGTTATCCCAGCCATGTGCCACAGCTCTTCACATGGCTGCCTTCCTGTCACCTTCCCATCATCTCCTGGGTGAGGCCCATGATCACCCACAGGGTGAAGCCTATCTTCTGACTCACTCCCTTTACCCCCACTCTGCCTTATTTTCTTTCTTTCTTTCTTTTTTGTAGTCCCCCCCCATGTTCCTATCTTCCCCAAAACTAGGTTGTCCATTCTGAGATAGGAACCCCAGGTGTGTTTCATTAGCTTCTGTAATCTCAGTCCTAAGCTGATTAGAACGTTTGGCCCCTGTGAGGCTCTCAGTAAAGTGAATGGAAACTGAGGAACTGTGGGGCCAGAATGTCCTGATGTTTTCCCAGATGAAGTTCCTCCTGCCACAGTGACCTCAGTGAACCTCTGCATAACCCTTCATCCTCACTAACAACTCACCTCTTCCCTGTCTCTTCCTCCTGCAGCCACTGCCCTCCAGTATCCAGCATGGCAAATTTCACACCTGTCAATGGCAGCTCAGCCAATCAGTCTGTGCGCCTGGTCACAGCAACCCACAACCACCTGGAGACAGTGGAGATGGTGTTCATTGCCACAGTGACGGGCTCACTGAGCCTGGTGACTGTTGTGGGTAACATCCTGGTGATGCTGTCCATCAAGGTGAACAGGCAGCTGCAGACAGTCAACAACTACTTCCTGTTCAGCCTGGCATGTGCGGACCTCATCATAGGTGCATTCTCCATGAACCTCTACACCGTGTACATCATCAAGGGCTACTGGCCCCTGGGTGCGGTGGTCTGTGACCTGTGGCTGGCCCTGGACTATGTAGTGAGCAATGCCTCTGTCATGAACCTTCTCATCATCAGCTTTGACCGATATTTCTGCGTCACCAAACCCCTCACCTACCCTGCCCGCCGCACAACTAAAATGGCAGGCCTCATGATTGCAGCTGCCTGGGTCCTGTCCTTTGTGCTCTGGGCCCCTGCCATCTTGTTCTGGCAGTTTGTGGTGGGCAAGAGGACAGTGCCTGATAACCAGTGTTTCATCCAGTTCTTGTCCAACCCGGCAGTGACCTTTGGCACTGCCATTGCTGCCTTCTACCTGCCCGTGGTCATCATGACGGTGCTGTATATTCACATCTCACTGGCAAGTCGCAGTCGAGTCCACAAGCATCGACCTGAGGGTCCCAAGGAGAAGAAGGCCAAGACTCTGGCTTTCCTCAAGAGCCCCCTGATGAAGCCGAGTATCAAGAAACCTCCACCAGGGGGCGCTTCTCGAGAGGAACTGCGTAATGGGAAGCTAGAAGAGGCCCCTCCGCCAGCCCTGCCCCCGCCACCACGCCCAGTGGCCGACAAGGACACTTCCAATGAGTCTAGCTCGGGCAGTGCCACCCAGAACACCAAGGAACGGCCACCCACAGAACTGTCCAACACAGAGGCCACCACACCAGCCCTGCCCGCCCCTACCCTGCAGCCACGAACCCTCAACCCAGCCTCTAAATGGTCCAAGATTCAGATTGTAACAAAGCAGACGGGCAATGAGTGTGTGACAGCCATCGAGATTGTACCCGCCACGCCAGCTGGCATGCGTCCAGCAGCCAATGTGGCCCGAAAGTTCGCCAGCATCGCTCGCAACCAGGTGCGCAAGAAGCGACAGATGGCGGCCCGGGAGCGCAAAGTGACTCGGACCATCTTTGCCATTCTGCTCGCCTTCATCCTCACCTGGACACCCTACAATGTCATGGTCCTGGTGAACACCTTTTGCCAGAGCTGTATCCCTGAGAGGGTGTGGTCCATCGGCTACTGGCTCTGCTACGTCAACAGCACCATTAACCCTGCCTGCTATGCACTCTGCAATGCCACTTTCAAAAAGACCTTCCGGCACCTACTGCTGTGCCAGTATCGGAACATCGGCACAGCCAGGTAGACAGGCAGGTGTCCTAGGAGGTGCTGGTGTCATGAGTGTGTACCGGGGAACCACATGGGCTCACCGGCTGTGAAGGAGAGAGTAGGCGGCCCCATTCTGAGTTCGCATCTGCTGAAGAGAACAAGTCTCTTAGACAGTGAGGCACAAGAGGCTCTTTGCTGGGTTTGGAGAGTAGATCTCTACTGAAGCCCAGGAGGCTCAGCCCAGGGAGGGTCTGAACTGGCACCACCTGGCCCCGCTCTGTCACCCTGCCTCAGAAAGACGGGGACAATGGCTGGAGTAGGCAGCTGCTCTGTCAAGGCCAACCATCAGCAGAGGTGGAAGAATGATTAGGAGAGCAGAGGTCGGGCAGCTTGAGAGGATCAAAGGAGCCAGGCTTGGAAGGGTGGGGTACCCCGTTCTGCTGTAATCGGTGCTTTCCGCCTCCCTGCACCCCTCCCCCTGCATGTAGGCTCAGCCCTTCCCCTGCCCCCAAGTCCCACTCCAGGGTGAGAGATTTCCCTGCCATAGTTACTCATCCAGGCCCTGAGTGGGGGAAAGCCTGGCTGAGGTGCCCTTTGACATCTCAGTCACATCTGGGTTGGGGAACTGGGAAGCCAAGCCAAGAAGCTGATAGACTCCAGGGGACCAAGACTGAGTCAGAGAGTGGTGGGTGTGGACATTACTGCCCTCATAGGTCACACATCAAACAAAGGACAATAATCCCCTCTACCTCTGCATGACGGAGGTATAGGCCCAAGGGAAAGAGAAAGGTGTGTAGGGGGTGGGGTGGGGTGCACTTGGTGATCCATACAGGTTTCAGTGGGAAGTGAGGCAAGCAAGCACCCTCATCTCTCACCGGTGAGAACCTTCCAGACTGGCAAGAGCCTGAACCAAGACTCTTGACTAGGTGAGGCAGAGTTTAAGTGAATCCTCTGATTCCCTTCCCTAACCCCAGCCCTGCGGTCCCTGGGAGAGATGACACCCAGAGGGCTCTGGAAGACATTTTCATAAACGCTCTGCTCTTCCCATGAGCTGTTGGGAGCACTTCCTGGTAACCCTCAACTCCCTTCAGCCCCCCCCCCCAAACTCCATGGCAAACTCCCTGGGAAGGGAAGGGGCTTTTATATATTAAAAAAAAAAGAAGCTTTTATTGGAGAAAAAAAAAGTGAGCTCATTTTATTCATTTCTTAGTAACAGGTATCAGGATGGGGAGAACAAAATGGGGAGCTGGGAATCCGATCCCTCTGTGGGGAGGCTCAAGCTTCCCAGAATCCCTTGTTCCTCCCTACTTTGGGCACTTGGTGTGGGCGTGAGAGGGCAGAGGCAGGGCGTGATTGACAAAGCTGGCAGGAAGAAAAGGCACTGGTGGGCTATATTTTGGGCCCGCTGAAGAGGAAGGCTCCTTCCAGGTCCCAGGTAAAGCCAAAGGCTCTCCAGCATCTCGACATCAGTCCTTTCCTTTCCCTTTCTTGGCTGAAAAACAACAAACAAACAAATAAAAGCATTTGTGAGGGGGGGGGGGCTGAGACCCACCCACAACAGTTAAGTACATCAAGGAAAGAAAATCCTGCCCCCTAGTGGTCTTTGATCAGTTAACTTGCAAGTGGTGGAAAAGGGCAGCCATTGTGATACCAAGTCTTAGTGCCACAACTTTTTATTCCCCACACTTTTTTTTTTTTTTTCAATGACAAGAGTCTCACTCTGTAGCCTTGAACTCATGGCAGTCCTACTGCTTCAGCCCTCAAATTACGGGCTAGAATCACCATGCCTGCCTGGCCTTCAACTTTCCATTTTCAATCAGGATCAGAGTATGTTCCTCACCTGGGAAGTGGGTAGACAGACCTCTGCCCTGTTAGCCTCAGTGGCTTTTGTGGGTCAGGCAGCAGCATGGCCCTTTGGGGCATCTTTCCTATAGTTTTAAGGCACAGTGAACTCCTCCCTGACTCCACCTAATTTTACCTCCTCAGGTGACAAAGACAAGCCTTTTCCAGGAACTCAGGTCTGATGAGCCAACAGGGCAGAGAGGGTTTAGCACCTCCTGAGAGTGGCCCTCAAGTACCTGCCCATTCCCAATTCTGAGTGCTCTGAAGAGATGGTACGAAGTCACTAGCCAGATCCACAACCCCACCGTATTCACTGACCTTTGGTCTTCGACTTGGTCTTGGAGGTACAGGGCTTGGTCACACGGATGGTCTCCTGGCACTGGGCATTGTAGCGAGCCTTCTTCAGGGTCCCTTGGCGGGCTTTGGTGCCAGTGCTCCCATCACACGCCCCCCAACTCTCAAACTTGTATTTGCAGTCGGCTGTTGGGAGAGTGGCCCCACGGAGTGAGAAATGGAGGGTTGTGGCTGTCCCCCTGCCCTGCTGTCCTGCCCGCCTCCCGTGCCCCACCTCACCTCCAAATTCCTTCTTCCAGTTGCAGGGCACCTTGCAGTGGATGCGCTGGGTCTGGGCTCCGCAGGTACCCTCGCGGAAACCCATGCCACAGTCTTTGCTGCTGGGGGTGCAGGGCCCCCAGGTCCACTCCGCACACTCGCTCCCCAGACTGCCCTTCTTCACCTTGTCTACAACGTGCAAGTAACAGAGATAAGGATGTGGCGTGCCCGGAGACTCCCTCGGAGACCAATCCCTAGGTCACGAGGCCTCACCTGCCCGTCCCCGGCCTCTTTCCTTTACTCCTGAACCCGCCCTACCCCATCACCTTTCTTTTTGGCCACCGCGGACGTGAGCGCCAGAAGGGCAAGAAGGGCTAGAAGGAAGAAGCCTCGGTGCTGCATCCTAGAGGAAAAGCGTGGGTTAGAGTTTCTTGCTCATTCCCTTCCCCGCTGGAAACCGCGGGAAGGACCTCCCACCCGGACCTGGCCCCCTTTCCAGCCCAAAGGACTTGGCCCACTTTCCAGCCCAAAGGGTCGGGCCGACAAGGACTTGAAGCCACTATCCCGGGACTCAGCGTGGGCCCCCACCCCCGGCCTCAGCCCCCTTGGTGGTGGCAGCCTGGAGGACTGAGGCCACGGCCACTGTGCACGCTCACTCGCTCACTGCCGGCGCGAAGCTCCGCTCCCTCCCGCTACGGCCCGTCCCGCTAAGTCCGCTGCGGCCCCTTTTGTCTCCAGAACCGGTCTGAGCCGGTCACATGGGCCCCCGCCCCTCCCCCCAGCCCTATAGAAGGACCCGCCCCCTCCCCTCAAACCCGCACCTCCTCAGACCCCCCTAGTCCCCGCCTCCCCTCCCGCCCTTTGCCGAGCCGGGGCTCCCGCGCCTGAGCCTTCACCTCTGATCTCTGGGTCTCGGCCCTGGGGCCCCGTCTCGCCCGGCCACTCCAGGCTCCAGCCCGCTCACTGGCTCTGGGCCCCAGCACTTTGCCTCCTCCCCTCCCCTGGTTTGGGCCTGTCCCCTTTCCTCTCGTGCAGTCCAGGCTGCGCTCGCTCGGGTCAACACTTCGCTTGCCCTCCGCGGGGCCCCGGAGTCCGCCTTGGCGCCACAGGCCCGGGGAGGCCTCTGCACCCACGACCCTTCCCTTCCACGCCTGGCTCATCTCCCACTTTGTTGGGGATAAGTTCACTCAGAGGGCAAGGAAGGGCTCTGATGTGTCTGGGAGCTGGGTACAGGTCTCCCCCCCCCCCCCATGGCTGGGGCGAGCAATCCTCAAGACCCCTTTCTCTAAGGCAGGTTTGGAGGAGGGAAGGGCCCTGGGGGGAGGGGAAGCCCGCTGGCCTGAGTTTGGTAAACCTTGTAGCTGACAAGGGCTGTCTGAGAAGTTCCAGACCCGGCTTTGCCGGAGGTGATAACCGCCCACCCCTGACCCTGGGGCCTCAGGCTCACCTCACCCAGATTCCCGAGTACAGGCCAGGGGGCGGGGACTGCCCCAGGGCACAGGGCCAATGGACTAAAGAACCCATGCCTGGGCCCCCGCCCCACCTCTTTTACTTTCATTGTTATCATCCCAGCGGGAGCGGGAAGCAGAGGAAATCAGCTCCGCCTCTGGTCCTAAGAGCCTAAGCTGCTGGGCAGAGGTCAGGAGCCGGGCACACTCAATCCAGTTAGGGACCCCCTTAACAGTCTGAGACATTGGTTGCCATTCCCCCACTCCTAAATTAACCCAGCATAAGACGCTGCTTATCAGAGAGCCACACAAGAAAAAAAGAAAACAAGAAAGGAAAAAAAATTCACTTTACTGAGTCACACCCAGCTGTAAACAAGTCACCGTGGGAGCCCCACCCCCCACCCCAGGCCATACAGTCCGAAATGAAATGACTGGGTACATGAGGATCACCAGGGGAGGTGCCAAGCAGGGCAGTGGGCAGACAATACAGCAGGCTCTTGAGTTTCTGGGAGGCCCAGAAGTGGGTGGGTCAGATAGAAGGGCTAGGCACCCAGAAGCCTCCAGACAGCCCAAAGGACCAGGTGCTGGCAAGGGTTCTGCTGACAGCAAGCCTCCCTGTCGCTGCTGAGCTCCTCTGTCCTGCGCTGAAGGGACCCAGCCAGCCCAGCCAGTCTCCTGTTCCCCATGAACCCAGGGGCAGGTGAGAGTCCAGCTCCTGAGTCCAGCCCTAGAACTGAGTGGCTTCTGGGGGGTAGCATGGGGCTCCTTCCCTGGGGCAGGGTCCCCCCATGGCCATCCGACAGGAATGTGGCAGTGAGGTGGGCAAGGAAAGGAGCTCTAGTCCTCTGGTAGTGTCCCTCGCTGATCCATGGTCCCCTTAACTACACAGCGGTCTCCTGGTCCTCCCGCTGGATCATCTGGTAATGCTGCCGGTTCTCCAGGTAGGCAGCTAGCTCTGTGTCTTGAGCCTTCTCAGCTCGCTGCCGGGGAGTGTCGCCCTGGAGATGGGTGCAAGGGCCCCCAAGGCCTTAGGAGAGGGCAAGGGCTCCTCTACCCAGCCTGTGGGGGAGGGACAATCCCACAGGTCACAAGGTTTTCCCCTACTGGCTCAGGTTTCTCAGGGCCTGGACTGTGTTGGCTCAGAACAGCTTCAAATTTCCTAGCCCAGCCCCCAACTTTTGCAAAGGGTGGTGGGTTTGTGTTCAGCCAAACAACTTACCTGCTGGTCTGTCTTCATGAGGGAGGCCCCGGCTTCTACAATGTAGTGGCAGATGGTGCGCTGGCCCAGGGCAGCTGCCTGGTGTAGACAGGTCTCCCCGCTGGGGAGCAGGGGCTGGTTGTGGACACTTGTAGTCCTCTGCCCAGCTGTCTCCCAACAGCCATCAAAAAGGGCAGGAGTTTGGCCAGAGAGGGAGGGGTACCCCATGCTGGCCAGAAAGGGTTCTTGGGCTCTGGGTAACCAAATGGTTAGGACTGAAGGAAGGTGGTTTTCAGGTGAACCAGGGGCCTATGTCCCAGATACTCACTTCTCCTCCACAGCATCAAGGATCTCTGGAGGTGCTGCACGAGGGAGGAAAGGGTACTAAGAACCTGACCGCCCCTTCCTTCCCAGCCAGCCCCAGGAGCACAGCTCACCATGGTCCAGCAGATAGCGAACCACTTCCTTACTGCCAGTGCTGACTGCATGGTGTAAGAGAGTACGGCTCTGCGGGTCCCGGTGCATGAGGTCACCTCCTGCTCGGTGTAGCTCCTGGAGCTGAGGACAATGGGCAGGGCACAGCAGAGCAGAGCTGGGTCTCCCTCC